TATGTATTCGGGCAGGAAAGCTGTAGCGGACAACAAAATGCTCGTACAACACCCTTGCGGTGGTACTCGCTAACTGGTTCCTGGTTGGAATTGCTTGGGCATAGCGGGTGAAATGGTCAGTGATAACCAGTATATTTTCGAATCCACCCTTTGACCTTTCCAAGGTCAAATAATCAATGCAGAGTAGCTCCATCTGACGGGAACTTTGGATGTTAACCTGCTCTGCGCTTGGGACAGAAGGGGTTTTTCTACGAACACACCTATTTTTACATTTTGCAACCCAATTATTCACCTCAGCATCAAGGCCTGGCCAGAAAAACCTGCGCCTTGCCAACCATCTTGTACGGTCACGTCCTTGATGGCCTACATCTTCATGTACTCCCCCGAGAACTCGTTCCCGGTATGCCCCAGGAATGACAAACTGCTAAACAGGGTCACCATCTACTATTGTCTCTATACAAAACACCTTTGCGTAGCCTCAGCAGCCGCAACTCCCGCATATACAGACACACCTCCTACATTACTTAAGTTTATGGTGTTGTTCTCTGGTTTCCAGGGATGGTGTATTTGAGAGTATCGGTCTCTGCTACAGGAAACTCTTCCCTAGTGGATAAGGAAGCGCAGGTAACTGCTCTCACTACATTTGGGAAAACGTGCTCATGTTGATACGGTCGTCTTGATAACCCGTCGGCGTCCGCATTGAGACGGCCTGCTCTATAAAATAACTTAAAGTTATAGTTTGAGAGTGAGGCTAACCATCTATGACTTGCTGCGTCCAGGTTTGCTGTGGTCGTCACATAGGTTAGAGGGTTATTATCTGTACGTACCTCAAAAGTGTTGCAATACAGGTAATCATGGAAATTGTCAGTGAGCGCCCATTTGGTATGGTATGCCCCTGACTTACAATTTCCCTCCAGCTGCTTCTCGAGAGCCTTGATTTTATTGAGCACAGTATTGATCTGCTCAGTCAGCAACAAGGAGCTTCAGTAAGTCCCCTTTGCATACCCAGTACTCTCTAACATACTGGTATACAGTCTTCAGAAGTACCAAAGAGATCGTAAGCAGTCGCCGGTTATTTATACTAAGTCTTCGGATGCCTTATTTTCTGACCGCATCCGGAACGTTTTCCGCACATAGCCAGGCATTGAAAAACATTCTTCACTACTGACCCAGATAACAAATTTGAGGGCAATGCAGACGGGGCCAGCTGACGTTGAGATATTGGTTATATGAACGTTATGATGACTAGGCCTGAATCTCGTTATGTTTAAATAAACTTATTCAAACCACAAGTATCTATATTAAACACTGATACTCGTATCCTTAAAAAAATCACATGCTGGAACAATGCGGATAAGCTTGTCAATAACTTGGATGAAGTAATTTAAGGGTAGTTGTTCCCTGAAAAATATCCATCTGTATAAACGAGCGTAGTAAAATGTAACCACCTATCTAGTTTTTGTGCACGAACGATCAATGTTTGGTTGCACTGTCACTTGCCAGCTTGTTGTTTGTTCTAGGTTTGTTAGGGCCATAAATAGTGTTTAGTGTGTTGATGAATTGTTGGTTTGTGATTGGTGAGTTTCCTATTTGAGGTGGTGCTTGTTTGATGTGCATTTGTTGGTTTTTCTCGATTGTAGATTGAAGGTTGTATCAAATGTTTTTGTGTTGGTAATTGTGTCGGCGTATGTTTTGATTTTGTTGTTTTTGGCTTTTATGGGTTGATGTTGGTTTTGTTACCTCTTGTTTTGTTTTGTATGGGGTTAATAAAATTGGGCTAAACCGGGATGTCAGCTTGCAAAATGGCCGTCTACTATGACATGCTCTGAAATACTTTCATATGTTTCGTTGCCTGGAAATGTTGCTTGTTCTCTTTGCCATTCTTTGGCCCAATCGAAGGTGTTTGGCTTTTCGGTGATACTACTCATTTGGCTGCCGATCTCTTCTGCGGTCTAGAAGAGGAGAAAATAGCTGGTGTTTCATCTCCAGTGTTTTAGTTTTGTAGTAGTGTCCCATGTCCTGTTTGTACATCAAGACTGTATTAAAATGGTCTGTCATACTTAGAGTTGTTATGGTCATCAAACGGTAAAACACACAACGATCCAAAAGGAATTAACATTAAACAAAAAGGTAAAAGACAAATGTTAAAAATCTTAAATGGGTATGTTAACACAAAAGATTAAAATGGTACGTCATAGTCTGTTTTATAGACCAACATCTTTCATATGTTAAGATGGTAATGATAATAAACATCAGGATACAAATAATACACATAACAGTAAATATGAAATATGAATCATAGATTCATCGAAAATCTCCAGTGAAAATTTATGATTACGCAATAGTTCATTGCAAATAAAATTGATACAGTAAATCATGGTCCGTTTTTGACTAAGAGTCCATAAAGACGTTATCACTGCCAATGTTTTTTGTTTTTTTTTGGTTAAAATGATTTATAGATGTAATTGCATCATGATAAAAAGTACAGCCTAAAAATACTAATTTATGACCTCCCCTGCGTTGTTGACACTCTTGATAAGTTTTAACTACAGCTTTATACAACGTATTGGCAATGTGTCAAAATTTACCTTTGCATATAAAAATCTGGAGTTCAACAGTTCAAACGTTTAAATATTCCTTCAAGTTTACAAATCTGTACAGGCGATTTAATCATAATATTGCAGTCATTTAAACATTTTAACAACACAGGCATTTATCGCCATGGAGTAAAACGATATATTTTTAAATGGTAACGACGGTTATATACCTAAAACAGGTGAAAAAGCCTACCCGTTGCATGTTTTTTCGAAATTAGTAAAGAAAACTAGTAATACCCAATACGAGGTTGCATATTGTTTGTGCAAACTGACGGATTCATTTTTAAAAATGCAGTTGACTTGGTACAGCGCAAAATTTTGCCTTTGTGGAAAACGTACCATGCTAATTTGAAGAAAATGATAAAAAATAGTCTTATTAGTTATACTGGGTCAAAGTAGAAGAAACGTGTATGAGGTAATCTAATTACATGTATATTATGTAATGTATCTTATTCTATACTTGTATTGAAAGTGCTTTCTATTTGAGTATTTTGAGCATTATTTAACAATAAGCTAATTTTACCTAAAAGTCGTTTTTACAACTGCCGTTAACAATTTCTTTAAACCTTGTTTTTTGGTTTTGTTTAAAAGATGCTTTTAAGCCATATGATTGATGTATATATACCTATGTAATGTTAGGTAGGAATTATTATTTACACCATGATTACATTGTTCTTGTCCTGCGAATTATCATTATGACATTCCTAACAACCCATCAAAACATAAGATGATTAGGGCTATCTTCCAGTAAAACACATGGCGATCCAAAAAGGAAATAACATTAAACAAACCAAAAGGTAAAAATCTGAAATAGGTATATTAACACAAAATATCAAAATGGTATGACATAGTCTATTATATAGACTAACATCTTTCAGGTAATGTAGAATTTAACAAATATCAACAGTTTCAAAAATTGTTTTTAGATATCTAATGTTATGTTTCTGCGAATGATAAGTTGTTTATTTACACGATTGACTTCAGTAATGGCCTTCCGCTTCATTGTCATGGTTATTTAACTTCTCATACTTCCAATGTAATTTTAAGTCCGGATTTTGTACGCATCTTTTTAATGAAAGCTCAGCCATCATAGATAAATCCAAAATTAAATAAATTACCAAAATAACTATGCATTTAACATGGACTCTTGCGGAGATACATAACATTTGTTCCGTGATTGTGTATTGGGCATTACGATCGCCGAATACGTTGCGATTTCGTGTACCGACTGTTCACATTACAATGAGTTTCATCCCCTTGTCGGAATGCTACTCTCAAATAGCGCTTTTAGAAAATTGATATCTCCAATGTGTATGCAAATTAAATGAAACTTTGTATCAAATGTTTAGCAGTACTAGTGAAAAGCAGAAATATTCAAAAGCGACATGTCAGGAGAAAAGTGAGTCATCTTTACTTTATTCCAAATTTTATGAAAATTCCAATGCATTTTACTAATTAATTTTTGAGGCGCATATCATCACTTAACGTTATAACGAAGTTTTACAATTTAAAGTGCACTTAACCAATTAAAGCGACTCTGTTTACACACCGTGCGCGTTTGTCATTACACGGTATACAGAGTGTTTCATATAAGCTATACAGGACCATTTATGTGTTGACGGGCAGGTAGGAATGTCTTGATACTATACAGGAGTGGCAGACAAGCCGGAAGGTAGGTACATTTCTCAAGTTGTGAGAAAGTGAATCGTATCTTTTATACATCTAGCAGTTGCACCTGATAGACACATTCATGCATTGTTGATTCAAGGATAATGTCACAACATTATTGGTAATGTACATTATGTAGTTAAATGAGGCCGAGTGGCGCGATAACTCTTCCATTTTGTCAGTATTTGCTCAAATACCTAAATCAAGATATTTAAAATAAACTATTTAGCTATTTATTTCAAGATATATATGTTCCTGTTTATGTTATGAATATTTATGAGAGTCACAAACTTAGGTTAGAGCTATCTTTAGCAAATTAACTACTCGTCACTCGCTCAGAATCACCCCACAAAATACAGTCCCATTTTATCCATGTATTTTAATAACCAAAACTAATTTATCAAAATTCTTTTAATTTTCAGGTGCTGTTGTTGGAAATATTTACGAATAAACTACTTAGGTGCTGTTATGCTCCAAACAGACATTTTGAAGTATATATAGATATTATATATATATCTGCGATTCGTGTTTACGTTTCTCACTACAGCCGAAATGAGTCAAACACGAGCACAGGATGCCGTTTGTTGTGTTATGTGTTTAGCTAAAGAACATAGTGTGAACTGGTATTGTATCGATTGTGGGAACTATCTCTGTGACATATGTAGAAACAAACACACGCGAACAAAATATACTATAAACTGCAATGTCTTACCACGACATTTGATCGACCTTAAAATGGAGAGTGACACTATCACCTCGGGAAGCCCATGTCCGAATCACAGCAATGAGACTATAAAGTTCCTCTGTCAGGGATGCAACAACGTCAAGGTATGTTTTCAATGTATTTTAGATGAGCATTATCAAGCTAGTCAACACAGCGTAAGACTGATCGTTGCAGATACAGCTGCAAGGAAGGATGAAAAGCGTCAGCTGGGCCGAAATAAATTGTTGGAAGGAGTTTTGAACACCAAACTACGTCTATGTGAAACAAATTTAAAGCTAAACAGGGATGAGATAGAAAGACGACAGCAAATAAAATTGGATTTGCAATCTGCGATTGAGGCTCGCGAGGAATCATTGAAACAGGAAGTGAGGAAAGCGAAAGAAAAGATTCTGCTACGTGTAGATAAACTTTTTTCAGATAGTAAGAGTCACCTGGAACATAACGCTGAATGTTGTGAAAACCTTCGCCGTGAGTTGGATGAGGTGAAAACACACCTTCAAATAAAACTGGAATCACGCAATCAAACTGATCTTCATATTTTCATAGAGGAAAACATAGCCAAGTATAAAAAGCAAATGCTTCCTGATAAACCCGATAACAGTTTTTACTTTACATTATCTCCAAACGGAACTGTTGAGGACATTTTTGGAAACCTTTCCAACGAACCCTTCAAACCTGAAACATCAAAATCGGTGAAGGAAATCATAAGCGGTGCTGTCATTGTAAAAACTTTACATACTCGGTGTTCAAAAGGGATTGGAAAAATATGTCCTGTATCCAACCAAATGGCGTGGATTGCATATTCTAACAGAACAAGCATAGAAAAAATAGACACAGCCGGAACAATTGTTAAGGTGATAGAAACTCCATGTCCAGTTCAAGATATCGCTGTAGATGGTGACAAGGATATAGTTTTGACAGGAATGTCAACAGTTTGGAAAAAGAATCTCTCCGATGAAAAGTCAATATTCTCAGATATTAAGAATTTCAAGCCTTTCATAGTGAAGGGCGTCACCCTGGCTACAGGACAGGATATTTTAGTTTGTGCTCAAATGGAAGGTAATCCAGGAAAAGTAGTACGGCTATCAAAAGAAGGAGAGATACTATTGGAAATTTGCGACGTCATAGGGAATCCCTACAGGGTAGCTTACAACATTTTTAATGACGATATTGCCCTGGCCTGCAGTGAAAATGTACTTGTGTATACAAAATCAGGGCAATTAAGAACGAAATGGACAGGACTTCGCTCTCAATTTAACCCCCATGGAATCGCGTATGACAACTACGGAAATATTTTGGTGACTTGCTATAAGAACAACCTCGTCTACATGTTGAAGGAAGACCAACAAGAGGACGGACTTATTCTGCTTGATGGAAAAACACAAAAAATGGTAACGAACCCGTGGTCTGTGGCTGTTGACGTGTCGGGGAAACTGTGGTTGGCTGGCAACCAAGGTGTTATACACATTATCAAGTATTCCCCCAGATACGAATAATCAATTATGTTAAGGTATCAAGTAACAATTAGTATAGCATAATGTGAAGATTTGTGCCTGGCTGGTAGCTTGAGGTAGCTGTATTTCTGACGTGGAATGTATATACCAATGTAATCTCGTTATTCTGACAACAATTAAACTAATTATCATTATTAACGAGTCTTAGAAATATAAAAGAGCTGTATGACGTTGAATTTGGCTCTATAATATCTTGTGCGAAAAAGGTACTGATTTTTTGGAAACGTGACTTTAATTACTTGGATTGACCAAAATTTGCATTAATATGTATCAATTATAAATGCAACAGTATAATTTGGCCTTTGTGAGTTGTTTGTTTGGTATCAACGTCTATGTGTAGTTTGTAAATGATTTCGTTTGTCAAGCTACTTGCTTACATATTGTATGGTATGACATTAACATCCAAAAATGATGCTCTTCAAAACCTAAACATTATTTGACATCAAACCTTTTTACCCTTAACCTTTAAGTCGACACTCTCACCAAAATCTTGACAATTTATTTGACGCCACAAAAAAAAAAAAAAAAAAAATTTAATAATTTCAAAACATATCGAAAATCATTTTCTTTCCTTAAATTTCATTGTCATATTCACGGAAAGGACATTTAAATCCCACAAATAACATATATCAGTATCTTATTACATATTATACAATTCTCAGGTAATGTACTTACTTACGTCCTTACTCTTTCACCAAAACCTGAACATTTTATAGTCGTCTACATTTTACTGTCAGTGGGATTGTATTTATCAATCTTGGCATGGCGAAGTTCTATTTTCATCTTCATTATAATTTATTTGTCTCTTAGTCCATGGTTTCACAAGATGAAGCCAATGGATGTCGACTATCGATCAACGCCTCAATATTCTCTGCGGAAGCGCGAGCTATCCAAGTAAATATTTTCTTTCGTAATACGTTATTACTATATCATGAACTTGCCTTTAACTTTCGTATTGCTTCTTGCTGGGTTCCTGGGCACATGGGAATACCATGCAATGAAAAATCAGATCGTGCCGCAAATGAAGCTTTATCGCTACCACCTGTTTTTTAAAACTTCATTTTACTGAGTTTAAACCATTTATTAAACAAGTTTTAACAGTTCAATGGCAGGAGGCATGGAATTGATATACCAATAATAAATTGCACTCCGTAAAACCTATCATCGGTAAATGGTCTCCATGCTATAGAGACAACCACATAGAAGTTGTCCTTGCCCGTTTTCGGATGGGCCATACATACCTTACACATTCATATATATTGAACTGCGAAGATAATACTCGGTGCAAAGGATGTGATGAGCCATTCACCGTTAAACGTTTTTTATTGGACTGCATTGACCTGTTTACTCGAGAATTTTTTATTGTAATGTTACAAATCTAGAAAGACCCTTTTAAAAACTTGAGATTTCTAAAATTCTAGATTATATGAAAGTTGTTGGTCTATATATTTGACTATGACGTACCATTTTAATCTTTTGTGATGGTATACACACTTGAGACTCAGCGTTTGTCTTTTACCTTTTAGTTTGTTTAATGTTATTTCTTTTTGGATCACTGGGTGTTTTCAACGGTTGATGGCCCGTAAGACCTTTTATGTGTTGACGGGCCGTAAAGAAGATAACAATGATAACTGTAACATGTAAAGAGACATTATTGAAATACATAAATGAAGTATGTGTAGTACCTTTGCAAATTAAACCAAAACTGATGTATGCATATCCTAATCACCCAATGTCTAGATAAGTATTACACATATCATGTTTCAGTGTCTGATCTAACTGAATATACATTACATTGTTATCCATGTTTATTAGCATATAAACCTATGACTCAATAACAGTAGACCACTTGTATAATGAACACATAGGAGTCATACACATCACTAAAAGGTGACGAAAAAGATAAATATCCCGGTTATAACACATTACACAGAAAATACACGATATATCCACATTTCTATAACAGGTATTATCTAAAAATTTGTTTAATTAAGGTAGAATGTCGCATGTATAGGTAACTTAACAGTGGTGTGTTTGTGCATTAAAGTTTCGTTATGACCAAAAATCGATTTCTCGCAATTCGATAGGTGATCATATCCAGCACCACAGATGATTTTACCCAACCTGATCTAACCAAACCCACGATTTTTATCAGGAAGGTGGTTTTTATGATGACACAATACACTCCTTTACCGTTTACTGTTCATGACAAGCACTCTAGCTATGTAGTTTTTTATATATACTTTTGCAAGTTTATACACAGTTTATATTGTCAGTTGGTAATCGGATATGTAGACGTACGTCATAAAGTTTTGTATTCTACATATCAATTGAATATACATAGGCCTTAGGTTTGTTGATTTTAGATAACACATGCATGTCTTGTGTGTAGTGTCACGGTTCAGCATATAAACATGTAATTTTAGTTAATTGCCGCCGTTTTTTAATCTAAGATGGACAAAATAACTGTATAGTGCAATTGAGGTCATCGTTAGGCTGTACTGCATTTAAATCTCAGTTATCAAAATGTGCTATTCGCTTGTGTGTCATTTTTACAATCTTAAAAAAATAACGTAGAGTTTGAAGTGTGTTGATGACACCACAATTGGTGATGTTAAGCTCCTCCGCATTGAATAAACCAGAAATCTACTATCCTAGCTGTTTTTACCATATATGATTTATAATGTGAAACCGAATAAATCGATGTCTTTCTATAACGAACAACTGACAGGTTTAAACTCATACACCCAATCTTCCTGTGACATGTATGGGTAGCTGTCAAACTAGTCTCCCTCTGCTACATGTGACGAACATCAAAGCCTTTTATACTCGATCTCCTTGTCATGAAAAACAAACAGCTGCTCGAACGAGATAAACTAAACTAATTGAATTCTTGTACTACGTATGTGGGGAAAATAGTAGAAGTTCTCATTTGTGAAAACATTAAATAAACTTAAAGCTCTTTTCAATTACTGGAGTAGACGGTTGCTAACACTTATTGGTGAACTTTATGTAATGAAATCTTTACTTATTTCTCAGATGAATCTTTTGTTTTTGTTTTCTTACCTTATGACACAGCTGATAGCTTTGCTAACGCTGGTTATAAGTATCAAGATCTAGAGCAAGTTGGCCAGTTGGTACTTAAGTAACCAAGACATCTTTGTGGTATGAAATTGAACTATCGGAAATAACTTTTTATCATGAGTAGTTAAAATCGGAATTTTGATAACCAATGACTTGATAAAGAATAACAAACTTTTCTTTCTTGTTTAGGAGAATTTTGTTAATCAAAGTTTTGATATACCCAATTATACCGCGTCATCATGATATAATTCTTAAGAGGAAAAATGGATCACAAAAATCTTTAACACACTTATTCGATAAAATGTATCAATAACTGCACACTCTAAACGAGGGGACTGATTTTGACTTCTAGTTAACTAGTATAAGAGTGAAAAAAATAAAATGGTTACAATTCAGAATTAGCCATAATATTTTAACAACCAGTTTCATATTCATACAAGATTGGACTTGCAAATGATATCTGCTGTATTTATGTCTCGTTGGAAGGGATATAATTCCTAACATTTAATCGAAACGCACGGACGTACAGAAACGTTTTGTTAGCATTTGAAAATTTACAATGAAAGCATTGTTTTTGAACTCAACAACCACATGGATTTAAAAATGACATGATTCCTTATATTAAACTGTTTTCAAAAATAAATGTTTACGCAAAACCATTAATGTTACAGCTCTTGATAATTATTAATTGGAAAAGGAGACGACATCTTAATAAAATAACTTCTGAAAAGCAAACAAATAGTTATAGTATCTTTGATTTGCATGACCATGACAGTCTACATTATACATATGTGTGTGTGTTTATTAGTAAGAATAATTCTGTCTACCTACTCCAACATTTCCGTTTATTCATGTACATATATTTCAATTTCTACCCAAATCAGACTCAGTGAAACTACTAAATGGGATCTGTTTCATTTACCGATGAATTTGATAAGATTAACATTGCCAGTGCGTATGACTACAAATGTTAGGTAAGGGGAGGAAACTCCCCAATTTCTAATTGACTGGCAATATACAACAAGTATGAGATTTAAAAACATAAAAATAAAAATTTTAAAAACTATTGAAAATTATTAATAAAATAAAAAAAAATGTGTATTCAACATTTAATAACTAATTTTTAAGTTTCAAAAGATGTGAAGCGACTGAAGCCTAATAATTAATTAAAGAAATGGCCGACACCGCTTTGTTTGCGAACCGGTGCACCACGTCTAAACGTTATTTCTCCGCAGGGAAAAATGCATACTGTCTTTGTTGCACAGTATTATTTAAATTTTCATTAAAGTTGTCGCAAAATATATTAAATTTTGTTCTTATTTAAGTTTCATTTAATATAAAGTAATCACGCTGAAATATATTTCAACCTGTCACAATAATCTGTCTTCAAATGACGGACTATTTGCTTGTATGACGTCAAACGATATGATGACAAGAAATGAAAATGAAAGTAGAAGATAAATTGCGTCAGTACCCATGCTATAGAAAAAAGAAAAATGAATTGAAATATAAGGATAGAATCTTGCTGATGTCGATTTCATGGGATGGTGAATTGAGTTTGTCTTGAGACAAATTCAACATGAACTGCTTCGCAATTCATTAATTTGTCTCGAGACCAACTCAATTCATCATCCTATGAAATCGACAACAGCAAGATTCAATCCTTATTTATATAAGCAGTGTAAAGTTGTGTACTTACATTTACTTAAGAGTTTACATTGTCCACTACAGATCTCTTTTTCTCTCCATTGATGAAATTTGCAGCAATGATAACGGCAGTAGTAAGCTGATAGTGTGTCTCAAGTTCGTGTTTATTATAGCAAGCTGATAGTGTGGGTCAAGTTCGTGTTTATTAATTTACACTGACATTTACTTTCAAGAGTGCACTTAGAAATTAGGCAGTTTTAATCGTCAAATGCAACTTTTCTCTCTGTCTCTCTTTCTTTGTGTGTGTATGTGTAATGCTAAATCCCGTTGTTTTTAATTTATTTCATCCTTTGAACCTGACTTTCTCAAAAATGTTTTAATACTTTCAATGTCAATCGATTGTAATTCAGATATTGAGACCAATGCCCATGTATAACCTGTTGGTTATCTCTTTATGCCGACAGGTGTAACTGCTACTTAATACATTGTAGTCGTGGAACATTTCGGCCGATCACTGCCCGAGGTCGCCGATGATTTTTAAGACACCTTCAGATAAACATCAGTCGCAACTGTACCTGTATTTTTTGGTCTATGATAGACGTACATTTTGTTGTCTTCTGATATAAGGTTTTAGATCGTGCACATAATTAACTGAACATTTTATTGCTAAGTATGTGTAATAATTTTGTAAAAAGAACTACATGATGTGTAAATAAATAAAGTATTTAAGTCTGATAGGGCTTCCGTACTAGCATGTGATACAGGTAAATAAACATCAAGCCCTAATGACATTTTATGTGTTGACGGGCCGTTCAGACTGTAATGATAATAATGACAATGTCCGTGTGTTTCAATGTCTATTTTAGACCTGGGATCAATAAAGAAATCAGATAAGGATGATGAGGTCTTTTTTATTACAAACTTTAATGTGGAATTTTGTCAGGCTTTTTAATTTTCAGTTTCGAAATAAAGGAAGAGGTATAGGGGTATAGGAAAAAGGACCAAATTCGAACTTCCTTGGATAAATTATTTGATTTTGCTCAAATTTGGCGCGAGGCATTCTTTGGTGAAGGGGAAATGATTTTGTATAAACTGAGTCCCATTGGGCTAAAGTGACCGGGCCAAATAGCGGAAATAGAGCAATGCTTTAAATATCCGTCTCCTCCAGTTGGAATATTTGTCCTAATTGTCCATCCTTTAGGCGGGGCCTTATAGGGGAAATAGAGCTAATTCTTAAAATGCTTAACCTCTTTTTTTATCTTTGATAACTGACATAGTATATGTGTTGCACGTTTTGTTTGGACATTTGCCCAAGCTGATTTATCATTACCGCGGCACGTTTATTGAATGATTATATTAATGATTTATGCTCAAGCAGACAAAATACATTGTTTTGGGATGAAAAGATGGATGGGCACGTCGGTTTTAACTTGATCTGTAATATGACTTTTAAGTTCTGTATAAAGAATGCTATAACAACCAGCGGTAATGGATGGTAAGTTGAGTTGTTGTTTTTACCATAAGTTCCTGTCAACATATATATCAACTATGCTATTCTACCCAGTTGACGTTTATTTTCTTTCGTTCCGCATTTTCCTCAATGTCCCTTTGTTGTTGATTCCTTTTGTTTGACTGAAGTGTTTGTCTTTCCTCTATTTTAGTATCGTTTCCTCAGTCTTTTATTTACTTGTTTTTAAAAGGTTTTTCTCGCATTGTCTTTTTGCATTACGCTGCTCTGGTGGTTTTTCACTCAGCTGTTAAGTTATTAATTTTTTATGAATAGAGTAAATTATATTTTGTTTGGACTTTGTGTTCAAATTTTTATAATATATCTACTTGGCCGTAAGTTAAGGACCACTGATATGTTTGACTGTTAGGCTGTAATTTGTTCGTTGAATCTAAAAAAAAAACAATGACGACTCAACAGGATATATAAGAATGTTTTTTATTCGCTTCTGACAAAACTATACAGAATCAGTGGGAACAGAATTATACACGACAGGAAATGTTGTATAAAAAGACGTGATCAAAAAGGCATTTTCAACGACTAAAAAGCGTGAATTCAACTTTCATATTAACGGATACGTCATCAAATCTATGTTACTTGCCCAAGTAAATTACTAAATCAAAGGTATCTATTAAGTATGAAAATGTCACTATCGGGTATAGCCACAACGCCTTTTGTACCATTCGTGTGCTCATCGTCCGATAATGTTGACAAGATACCTTAGCCGATGAAACTGCCACTCCTAAACCAATACTGCCCTTAACTCTGGAATTGTTTGGCATTTCGAATTTCGTGCATTAACCTTTTGTCCTAGATAGTCACCCACATGCTCAACTAATGTTTACTGACATTGTAAGCAATGGGATCTTCCCTAGCACTTCTTGTTAAAGATAACTTTGCACTAGGCAGTTTCTCTGAAATTTGGCATTGTCGTCGTCCATTTAAATCGGCCAATCCGTCAATAGAAGGTCATCGAAATCCTGAACAACTGAAGGTCGAGGATCTGATCATGTTACTTTTTTCCATTTATAGTTCCAACAAAGACGTTGAATCGCCGCATACAGTTGAGAGAAAAAAAAACATTCCCAAACAGTACCATCGCAAACACCCAAACAGTACCATCGCATACACCCAAACCTGTTTTATGAAGATGATAGTATACCGTATTTACTGGGTTTCCAAACGAGACCCAGTCATCTGTTGAATTAAGTTAAAAGCAGCTTCATCCGACCAGTTGACATTTCGCTAAAAAAACTGATATTAAATGTCCGGTGACCATGTGTCCGATATAGTCTTGTTTGTGCTTTCTAGTCAACAGTGGACGTACCACTGGTCGGCGAGAGTGAAGTCACATATTGTTTAAAGGTATGCTGATGGTCCCCCACCTAACGCGACGTTCCTCGGAGCCTTTTGTAAATGCCTATTTAAACAGACGTACATCTTCCCTATTTGTAGACTTTGGAGGTCTGCCAGACATGAGACTCTATTCAAGGTGTCTGTTTTTTCACAGTCGACACATTTACCAAGAAATAGCAGAAGGGTTGACATTAAAACGTGCAGCTACTTGCCTGCATGTACTAATTTGAACCATTCTAGAAGCCATTTTCAAGCGTTTGTCAATTTGTTAGACTTGTTATTCTAAATACAGTATAAGCCTTGTATTTCAATTACAAGTAATACACGTGCAAACACTAGTTAAAAAGTAAACAGATATGATACATATTACAATGAGTACAAGGTTTAGTTTTAAAATTTTGATAAAAAAAATCAAACTAAAATTGATAGTTCCTAACCTATGGCCAGGTTCATGTTTGAAATAGGCTCTGTCATGTTTGATCAATCCATTGGATTTGGTATGGAATTGATCAATGTAATAACCTTCAATTGTTATACAGACGGACACAGTATCCCGTCGTTGGCCCTGGCAGATTTTATCGTATTTGCAGCAGCGTTAGTGATCTCTCTGGGTATAGGAGTATACCATGCGTTTTCGGGCGGACGACAGAAGACAACAAATGAATACCTACTCGGGAACAGGAAGATGAGTATTCTTCCGGTTGGACTGTCCCTCATGGTATCGTTTGAATCCTCCATCATGATGCTAGGCTTTCCGGCTGAAATTTACACCTACGGCATCATGTTTTGGTGGTTTACACTCGGCTTCATGTTGGCGCAACTGATCGCCATCAGGATCGTCGTGCCTCTAATCCACCCTCTCCATGTTACTAGTGTTTACGAGGTACGGAACATCAGGTGAACCTTTTTCTGGCAGTGTGTAGTTCACTCAAACGTATCTATGTTTCTTGTTGCAGCAATGCTATATGTTTGAGACACTACTATGACGTCACGTATTCTAACAAACATTTTTTTCTTAAAAGCAGATAAAGGAGGAAAAAAAGCAGATAAAGCAGAGGATAAATTTGGAAGGATTTTGTTCGTGCATTACGAATCAAAATTTGTTACAGCATATTGATTGAATTTTAAATATTTATACTTGTTACAACAATTGTGAAACAAAATATCGGGGATTATTATTTGTTTCAGATCCTTATCAGTCTATTTCACATACATTTAATCTTTTCGTACCGGCTTTCGTTGAAATGTTTAAACCTTTGTAGTGATACCGTTAATCAACCGAACATTTTAAATTGATCGATTGAATACTTTGTTTTATATCAACCACTATTGTTTTGTTTCGATACAAAGAATGAAACATATATAACACAACTGATTTCTTTTCATGAATGAAACAGCTGATTGGATTTTTTAACGTTAAAGAAATAAATACATGTAGGTTTACGTAGTAACCGCTAAACTTGAATTAGTTTGAATAAAAAAATTGGACCGATTTATTGCCGGGTTAATTTTGTGTTAATTCTTCGTAATCTGAATCTTGTTGATAAGAACGTTGAGTTTTGTGTTTCAGTATCTAGAACTGCGTTACAGCAGTCGTTTACCTCGACAGATAGGAACGGCCATGGGAATGTTATATACGGTACGAAATTCTTATCTATATTTCTAAATTAAATAAATTAAATAAATTACATGAAATAAATCTAAGAATGAAATAATAATAATGCTGATATTTCTGTTCTTTATCATAGCATCTATTTTCAAACAAATAACTCAAATTAGTTTTTCTGTTAATGACACGACATTTTTGCAAAAGAAGTAAACAGATGAATATCGACGTGAAAGATACGACTCTGTGGTATACATATTTACGAAAAATAAATATTTAACGTTTATTTGATTCCTGTTCTTCTGTCTTTTGTCCAATATTCCATCTTATCATTTTTCTTGATTCGAAGCTCTTTTCCGATTATCAGACAATCGTGTAGATATGCCCAATTCATTCATAACAATTAATTTCGTTACTACTTACTTTGAAAGCAGGCGTCGTAATGTTAACGATGTTCCTGAAAATTTCTAAATATAGGACAGATATGAATGAACCTCTGTATCAACCTTTCCATATTTTACCCAGATTTTCTATATGGGTGTGGTTCTGTATGGGCCTGGCACAGCACTGGAGGCAGGTGAGTATTTTACCTTTCAATATACCTCCATAGAAACATTTGTGTACAAAAACATGCTTAATCTATAAGTCGATTTTTTAAAAGAAATTTTGTATAATGCATTTAAACAAGAATTCAAAAAAATGGTAAGCATGTACTAGCCTTTTTAATCTCTATTCCGGACACCTCGAAATATGAAATATTGAATAGAAACTAAATGAAACAAATTTTAAATCCGTTTTATGATACTAAACCTTTTGGCAAATACTACTCCAGTCTCATTTTTCGATGTCTCTCTATTTGTTATACACTTGCATTTCATTGTTGGATTTTGCAATTTTTAACCAATTCATAAACCTATGTTGATATGCAGTTTTTTTAACACCAGGACCAGGTAATGTAGTTATATACATTCAATTGATTTGCTGATCAGAATGTTTCCTCGTTACAGTGGCAGATCTCCCTTTGTGGATTTCTATGGTAGTGATCATGATAGCTGCTGTCATCTACACTGCTATTGTGAGTTACACTAACGCCAATACAATTATATATATGTTTAATGGTAACAGTAAATATGTGAGCCTTGGATTAGAGAAAGTTGTCTATCAGATCTTTATATTTAAAAAGTTAATTTCAAAACTGTTTGTTTTAGCTCTTTAGACATACTGTAACCAAAACTGATAGTGTTGTCATCAAGTCAATCACAATAATACAAAAAACATGGACTAGTATGAAAGCAGGTTATTGTGACTTAGTTGTTCATGGTCCAACGACTTATTTCTCTCGCATACGTTTTAAAGTTACAGGTCAAGAACTTGTTAATGGAAATTTCATAGCAAATCAAAGAGAACGTAATGTGGCCGACTTTCTAAATTGCACTTTTTGTTATATACATTTTCCGCACATACGGGTTTCTTCTAGCTTTGGTAGCAAAAGGAAAGCTGCTTTACTTTGTCTGCTCTGCTGACAGGGAGGTTTTATGGTTATTATAATGATCATATTGGGAACAATATATTTCGTAACGCGATATGAAGTTTGACGTGTTTGATGTTCATGCTTATGCCTGTGGGTCCCGTTGATGTTATGACATTACTAACTTGGATTTACAGCTTCTTCCCAGAAATATATCGCACAATTAACGCTGTTAAGTATGACCCTCATTATTTCCACTCTCCTGCTGCTTTAAAATACCTTGCGAACAAACATGTGGATTCTGATAACATATCTATTGTTATCGTTAAAACAGAGGTTAACAGAAGAGCTTATATAATACTCTGTGAACTGAAAAAAAAAAACAAAGACGCTTACTCTTCCGGAACTGCCAAACTTTTTTCATGAATTTCCATGTACATTTTTTTTCATATTTCGACCCAGTTTTATTGAAATTGAATTTGGTATATGATTATGTTCACATGTTGGTATTGTCGTTTTCGTTTATTATATAAAATGTAGTTCATGACCATGTTACCATTGTCTTCTATACAGGGAGGCATCAAGGCAGTGATATGGACAGACGTGTTCCAATGTTTGGTCATGTACTGTGGAATAGCAGGGATTATCATCAAGGTTATTAGATTATTATATCTGCATTTTTTACACATTTTTATGTCGTATTCAAAATTTAATTTCAATTCATTATCGGCCAAGTCACTATCGAAATGGAGCAGTCATTAGACTGTTAAGTGGCGTCATTTTTCTGATATATTCATGACGTCATAATTGACAAACGATATCATTTGCAATTTACACTTTTATTTTCCTAAATCTGTCCAATCTTTGAAGCCTTTCTCGGGTGAAGGGAAATCTTTTTTTATAAACGCTAGGTCTCGACTCCCTTGGGCTGTGGGGCAAGGTCCAATATGAGTGATAGAGCAAACAGTTATAAACACTTCTAAAGGAATATTATAATCCTGTCCAATTTAGTTCAAAAGTAACTCTGGGTGAAAGAGATTCAATAGTGTATCAGCAGTGGGTCTCGACCTCCAGGATTGAAGGGACCAGTTCCTGTAGACCAAATAGAGAAAGGTCAATTTAGTCAGAAGCGTATTTAGTTAAAGAAATCAATTTTGTATAAACAGATGATCTTTGTCCCCTGGTGTGCAATTCAATAAAGAAAATTAAGTCAATTCTTTATAATTCATATTTTTGTCTGTTTAAAAGTTTGCCTCTAGGTTTTTATGGTGTGTATTGGCAGGACTGATAGGGAAAAATGTCAATTCATTGAAATTGTTCGTTGGCAGAAATGATATTAAATTGTCCAAAAGTAGTTTGAAGCATCCATAAGCAAACTAGACTTTTGTTTGAAACAGTTGGGCTAACTCTCTTTGGGACAGAAGACATTGATTGTAAAATAAATATTAATCTTTAGGTACCACATATTTTTTAGTTTGTTTAAATCAATACCAAATGAATTATACGGTCCATATGGGCCTTTTATATTATAGTTTTGTTTTGACATGTATTCGAATACTGTTGATACATCATACACTCCAGTAATCTAATACTACTGAAATTCAAACGATCTCTCAGTGTTGAATGCTTATCATTTCATGACCGATTCAGAGTACAGATGAAAACAGCTATAATTAAATTTCACGACAATAAGGTATTGTTAAGTATCATACTCTGATAAGTAACACTATAAGATGACTACATGTCAAGAGTTCCATTGATATTTCATATTATACATAAATATGTCCACACATGTGTTAGATAATACGCTGCGTCTCATTCAGCTCAGGCATCTACAAATACATTAGATATAATTATGAAACATGGTTCGCATTTATCTGTTAATCCTTATCTTGATATTCATAGTCACCGTCTTTATAGGTTATTATATCCCACGCCTACTTAGGTAGTGGTAGGGGTGGTGACTAGACTTTATATAGTAATCAACTTTTCTGTGTGTCTGTGCATGGGTCTCTGATAACCTTGTATATAATGTATCTCGTGAACCCCACATTTGATTTATATTCACACCAAACCGCCATGCAACAAATATCTACACATATTATGATTTTTGGTTGTCAGTGGTCTTGGTTAAAGTCAAAGGTCATTCTTGACCACTTTGATTCCCTTATTTTTTGGTTTTCGTTGCATTAATATCAATGACCCAAATATAACTATCCGCTGCATTTACTGTTAAAAATATCAATTTAGACTTTTAACTCGTAACGAAGGATCTGAAGTATTCCTTTCCTTACATCAGGAGATCAATTTACTCTCTGTGTTAAAGGGGTGTATGGTAGCAGGGGGATTCGGAAGAGTCTTTGAAATCAATGGACAACTAGGCCGATTAAACTACTTCAAGTAAGTACACAACATTATATTAATTATGCAATGTGATACCAGTCTCCCATTATTCCACATTCACCAGAACTTTTCCTGTTAATCCCACGTACTTTCAAATCCATTTTCGCGTCTCTTTCTATTCAGTTTCGATTTGGACCCAACAGTTCGTCACACTTTCTGGAGTCTTCTGTTTGGTACCGCCACTCGTCTTGTATACATCACGTTTAATCAGGCTACAATTCAGCGGGTATGCGCTGTTCCTACCCAACGAAACGCTACACAGTGAGTATTCAAAATTTGATTGTACACAAACTGACAACAGGATACAAATTCACAGAAGTTATTGAGGAAACAGAAGAGGCTTCCTCATCCCGATCACCTAGTCTGTTACTATGACGTACCATTTTAATCTTTTGTGTTAGTATGCCCATGTCCATTTAATATTTTTAGCATTTGTCTTTTACCTTTTTGGTTTGTTTAATGTTATTTCCTTTTTGATCGCTGCGTGTTTTATCGGTTGATGGCCCTAATGACCTTTTATGTGTTGATGGTCTGTAAAGAATGCAATAATAATGATACATTTTGAGGTTGTCCTTGTAATTTGTTCTTTTTATGTTTTTCCTCGAGAAATATATTTTGGGTTCACTTTATGATTTTGTTTAGTTGTCAGTATTATTTCGTTGTTATGTATAACTCTTTGAGATGTTATTAAATTTCTATATGTCTCGCCAGCAGAATACAGCCTCTATATAAATGGTGTACAATGTATGGGTATTTCATATAAAAAACATATGATTATCTGTTTATGTAAACTGTTGTGGGGCCGTGATAGCTAAGCCGGTTAGAACGTTGGTCTATATGATTTGGACGGCATTCGACTGCCACTTAGTGATAATTTCAGCAAACAAACAGTCAATTTCTTGAAGTTATGCTATGATAATTGACATTTTAATTCCTTGTTTATATGAATTTTGAACAATATATGTATTTCACAGAATCTTCCTGTTCGCGGGACCTGCGTTTTTCTTGACCTTCTCTATCGCTACCTTTGAGGGACTGGTAGCTGTAGCTTATTTCTACTCCATTGGATGTGATCCTCTTGCCTCTGGACAAATTAAAAACCCGAATCAGGTCAATATATCTATAGTATATATCTAAATACATACATTTATGGAAGAATATTCAGATTAAAGAATTTACTTTGATATAAAAATAATCTTTTCTGTTCACATATTACATATATAGTAAAATCGAGGGTTTAGGTAAGTTCAGAATCGTGCAGCTGCACACAGTATTGGTATACAAGATAGACAATCCATGCAAAAAACTATCTTTTCTCAATTAAAGTGGAATATTAAAAAAGAATTAGCTTGGAACACGTTTTTAAACACCTGAAGAAATATTCTGCGATCATATAATATTTCGCCGTTGCTACATTTCATTTTTTTTCCAATACAGAAAGTCTGATTGAAAATTAACAAGTGTTTGATATAGATAGATTATATATAAGAAAAAGCGTTTCTTTAAGGTATGGATGCGTGAATTATTTCTTGGTGTATGTCAGCGTTCCACCCCGTTTATCGCCTCGTGAACACCTAGGGTCATTTTGATGTGGGGGGATCTCCTTTTATTAGGTACATTTTAGGTTGCTACCTCACTGAACGACATACGGGAGTTTCGTCGCATGCCTCCCACAGCAATTGGGGTTAAGTGTTTTGCCTAAGGACACCATCAGTTGAGTTCTAGGCAAGTCATACATAAGACGATGATGGTATAGACTTAATAATTTGTACATTGACTGAAATGTCATTACACTCCTGGATTAGTACAGATCAATTTTGTTAAAGGAAATGAAGGTTACCTTAACACAATACAGTCCTGCATACAGCTATTACACAAGTTCAGAAACCAAAGCTTGATGCATTCGATATTCATACAGGCAAGCAACTTTATTGACTAGCATTGACGCATGTGTACATATTCAGAAGATTTTTACCGTTTATATTTTTTTGTCCTATGATTCAAAACAGTCAAATTATTAATAATACTTATTGATAACAGCAATGTTAATATGTAATCGTATTAACATGTAAAAACTGTCATAGGCATTCAGATAGTATTGCTAAAATTGGTGTCATATATTTACCATACTGATGGGTGTGATATGTCACTTCTTCACCTAATTAACATTAGTGATGTCACATCTTAATCTTTGATATGAGTGATGTCATTTAAATTTATTGATAAGTGGGATGTCCCATCTTAACCATTTTTATATGAGTGATGTCACATAATAACCTCATTTATATAAGTGATGTCACATCTTAACCATTTCTGTATTAGTGATGTCAATTATTAACCCCATTTATATGAATGATGTCACATCTTAACCTCATTTATGTGAGTAATATCCCATCGAAAACTTATGAGTATATTATTTTATTTTCTGATAAATTTTAGTAAACAGTTTCTGTAATTCGGCGTGATGACATATAGCTGAAGCAATAGATATATAATTTCCTATACTATTGATATCTATATGCTGGATTAAGTATCACCAATATAATCCACATACCCATGTTTTCCGTTGAAGATCATTCCCTACATGGTCATCTGGCTGTTTAAGGACAACCCAGGCATGTCGGGTCTGTTCATGGCTTCTCTATTCTGTGCCTCACTAAGGTAAGGTCTCATTGAGCTTTTGTTCCTCTGTACCCCATTCAGCTAAGTTGTCAGCCTTTTCAGGTGATTTATTTAATTGAGGTGGTGTTCTTGTCTCATTCACATTAATGTGAGTTGACTGTCGCCTTTGAATATATTCAAAGAAACACAGTAATGAGTGCCGTTATCCATGCAGACTCTCTTTCTGTTCTACAAACTCTTAGCAATATTTCGAAAATATACCCTAATGCTATATAATGCACTTGCTTTTAACTTTCGTATTGCTTTTTGCTGGGTTCCTGGGCAAATGGGAATACCAGGCAATGAAAAAACATATCCTGCCGTAAAGGAAGCTTTATCGTTACCACCTGTTGTTTTTTAACTTCAATTTTACCGATTTAAGCCATTTATTAAACACATTTTAAGAGCTCAGTGGCAGGAGGATTGGAATACCTATACCAATAACAAATTGCTCTACGTCAAACCTGTTTTCGGTGAATGGTTTCCAGGCTATAGAGACAACCACCGAGACGAAGTTGTCCTTGCCCGTCTTCGGATGGGTCATACATACCTTACACATTTATATATGTTGAAAGGCGAAGATAATCCTTAGTGCATAGGATGTGATGAGCCATTCACCGTTAAACGTTTTTTATTGGACTGCAGTGACCTTCTGTCTACCCAAGAATGTTTTTATCGTTACGTTACAAGTCGCAAATCCCTTTTTGAAACTGTTGAGATTGTAAAATTTTACATTACCTGAAAGATGTTGGTCTATATAATAGGCTACGACGTACCATTTTAATCTTTTGTGTTAACATACCCATTTAAGATTTTTTAACATTTGTCTTTTACCTTTGGTTTGTTTAATGTTATTTCCTTTTGGATCGCTGTGTGTTGTACCGTTTGATGGCCCTAATGTTATTTTATGTGCTGACGGGCTGTTAAGAATGTAATAATAATAATAATAATAATAATAATAATAATAATTTTTCGCATTAAGGAGTGTTGTTGTGTCTCACCGAGGCGATAGTTTTGCCTTATCAGGTATGAGCTGTTGTCTGCTTATTTAGGTGATCTGTTGTACCTCCAAAATGAGAATTGTTTTGTTCTCGTTAATTTGAGTTGTTTTGTGCATAACTGTACCTATCTTTATAAAGGTGGTTAAATGGACTTTAGCCTTACTCGTTTCCTCTAGTTGTTTTTGGAAATCTTTTTTGATACCCATGAGGGATGCTCAACGGTGACGCTGTGGCCAAACGCTATAGTTAAATGTACGTTTGATTTACTACTTTTTCAACACATCTAATCTATGGTAGACTGTTGATATATTCTGGCATCCGTCAAACCTCTGAGTATCAATTAAACTGATTGAAGACGTTCTTTCAGCGATAAAACTTTGTCATGATTATAAAGAATTTTTCGTGATCAACAAGACAAAGATAATAACGGGATAAAGGAAAGGGTCTTTGTTCAACAAATCCGATGTCAACGTTTTTTTCTTTACATAACTTTTATCTTCGGTTTGACTATGAATTTCTCGTTTGTCTGATCAATGTAAGTAGTTGTTCAGGCAGGTTAATGTGTTGAAAATTTTGTTGTTTTTAATTAATCTCTCTCTCTCTCTCTCTCTCTCTCTCTCTCTCTCTCTCTCTCTCTCTCTCTCTCTCTCTCTCTCTCTCTCTCTCTCTCTCTCTCTCTCTCTCTCTCTCTCTCTCTCTCTCTCTCTCTCTCTCTCTCTCTCTCTCTCTCTCTCTCTCTCTCTCTCTCTCTCTCTCTCTCTCTCTCTCTCTCTCTCTCTCTCTCTCTCTCTCTCTCTCTCTCTCTCTCTCTCTCTCTCTCTCTCTCTCTCTCTCTCTCTCTCTCTCTCTCTCTCTCTCTCTCTCTCTCTCTCTCTCTCTCTCTCTCTCTCTCTCTCTCTCTCTCTCTCTCTATCTCTCTCTCTCTCTCTCTCTCTATCTCTCTCTCTCTCTATATATCTCTCTCTCTCTCTCTCTCTCTCTCTCTCTCTCTCTGATATATATTTCTGGGACAATTTTAATTCCTGCGGTCGCTTATCAGACCTTTAGCATCACTGAATAGACCAAGAAGGACGAGATAGTTATAGGATACAGTGGAATTCATTACTTGTCTCTATTGTATCCAATTCCAATGTTTTATAGAGAGTTATTTCACAGGAGCGTCTTTTTTAACCTTCAAAGCGGAGTTACGCGTTTGCTTTTTTATTATTTCAGTACTTTATCGTCAGGTCTGAGCAGCCTTTCCGCCCAAACGGTAGAAGACATGATCAAACCTTTGTGGCCTGATATTTCTGACAGAAAAGCAACAACAATTGCCAAACTGTCAGGTAAACGTTACAGATGTTAAGGCTACCTGTAATCATGTACACATTATGGTTTCCTGATTGCTCCTGTTTAGTACGTCGTATAGATGAGATGATATTGACAACTCTAGGTTTACTCGATCTTCCATCATTTGAACAATTCCGAATTGTCTTGATTTTTGTATCCAACTAATACGTAACTATAGATTTGCTTTCCCTTTGATTTGACTTATCGATAATATAGTGTATGTATATGAGCATGACAACATTGTAAAACTGTTCTGAGGTTGGCATTGATACTATACTAGAGAGATAAAGATCTAAAACATTATTGTAACGGGACAAGTATCCTCGATGAATTGGTCTTAAAAGATTTTTCATTCACAACTACACACTTTTGACAGTGGTATTTTACGGAGGACTATCTCTGGCAGTGTCGTTCATGATCGCTAACATCACAGGATTACCATTATCTCAGGTATGTATTATCACCGCATTCTGTGGAATTTTAAGTTATATTCAAAATTATCTAACGTCGAAAAACGAAAGAGTGAATATGCGAGTGTATGTGCTTCCAACATATCAACATTTGATGTGATTCGCATTAGTTTTGGCGCAACTGTACAGCGAAAGCGAGGCTAACTTGTTATTTTCTTTCGGCGTCATAGAAATATTTATTACAGCAACAACCAACTTCGGTACATACTAACATCTTGGGATATAAAACGAAGGAGAGAATCTAGATATGTTTTAGCGACACGAAAGCTCAAACGGCAACTCCTGAGATGTGTGTAGGTTTTTATTGACCTTTCACTTGGTGTATTAATATTTTTGCAGATTGTGTTGACCATGCTTGATATCAAAAGTTGATTATCAATTAAGAATAATGATAATTTGACAGTTCGAACGCCAAGTGTAATAACTATGACAGCAAGACAGGTGATAGTAATATGTTATTAGAGCACGCATAAGTAGACACAGACCATCAATACCACTGTGTCATGAACTACTTCAAAATCAAAACTTACTTGGAATTTTGTATGCTTTTTCCATGGATATATCACATGTTCTTTGGTTCCTTTGGTCGGTTTTTTTGTGTTTATGGTGTATGATGTTTTCAAAAAAGAACAATTTTGATCTGCTGCTTAGACACTTTTAGAAGTACAAAACTTAGTAAACAGATAATCTTATGGATTGGTAAATCTGCAGCAAGACAAAATGTCGGGTTTGGATTGTGATCTATTTCTTTGCACACATAAAATATTTTAAAACCCGAATCTCTTTATATTTTTGAAACACGGCTGAAAAGGACGACGGATAAATATATATTAATATGATATCTCATTACTTTAACTACCGGTTTTTTCTGCGTTTTTTTGTTTTAAAAGATTTAGTTTAGTAAAAAGTCAAAACAAGGACGGCGAGATATCTATCATTTCATGGAATTGTTTTAATTGCCTTCATGACTGGCTTCCCACACTACTGTAGCGGAGAATTCTCTCAGAAGATAAAATAGATGCGTGATGAAAATAAAGACTTTATTCAGCATGTGTAACATTATCTATAACGAAAGATAATATTAAAATAAAATTTAGTGACCCGATGTATTTGTTAGTCTTATTGGTCTGTATTATAGACTATGACTTACAATTATAATATTTTGTGATAATATAACCAATTTTGTAGCACTTGTCGTTTACCTATTAGTTTGTTTGATATTATTTCCATTTTGGATCGCTGTGTGATGGCACTAATGACCTTTTATTTGTTGACGGGCCGTGAAGAATGTCATAATGATAATAAAGACAATTATTTTGTGCGTTTACGGGTAAATGTAATTCGTTGTGGTAACTGGTCATTGATGAGGTGCGAATATCATTCCGTGTAATTACTGATAACAAATACAATACTTTTCTTTTATGTAATTACAAGTACCACATAGAAAATACATTATCAATGTCTTAAAATATCAGCTCTAGCGAGCCACTTTCGTCTTTTCTGTCCCGAACCAAAACGCAGCTTATATCTTAAGACAATGACCATATATTATACTTATCCTGCAATATTGAAAATCAAACAATCAAAACTTCAGCTGTTTTGTTCTTTGATTTTTGTTTACTTAACGTTGCCGTTACGCTGAATATCGACTGATAATGTATGTCAAAAAATTGCTCCGCACAAACATGTAGTTCCATAATTCAACAGATATAACAGCGATTTATAAATTTCCGCAAATAAATTAATTCATTACAACAAAAACTCATTTTAACCGTTATTTATATTGTTAACTTTAAAGGAAATTCAGAAAGTAATTCTGTCGAATTACTGCACGTGCTAAAATACAGCTGTATTCCATCACTACATCAAAGAGACAACCACCGAGACGAAGTTATCCTTGCCAGTCTTCTGATGGGTCATACATACCTCACGCATTTGTATATGTTGAAAGGCGAAAATAACCCTCGGTGCATAGAATGTGATGAGTCATTCACCATTAAACATTTTTATTGCACTGCATTGACCTTCTGTCTGCTCGAGAAAATTTTTATCGTAATATTACAAGTCTTAAGACCCTTTTGAGATTGATAAAATTCTAGACTGTAGACCATGACTTACAATTTCGATCTTTTGTGATAATATAACCATTTAAGAATTTTAGTATTTATGTTTTACTTTTATATGTTTTATACGTTAAGAATGTAATGATGATAATAATGTCATATGTGGAAGGAGTTATTCGACAATTGCAGTGCCAGTTGAAGGATGAAATACTTTGATTTTGTGTAATTACAAGTAACAAATGAAATATTATTATTTTGTGTAATTACAGGTAACCGCCCAGGTATTGTCAGCCTTTGGAGGGGCAGCAGGGGGCATGTTTTTGTATTCGATATTTTGCCCTTGGGCAACCAAACAGGTAATTTACACTTAGATTTGTCGGAAACTGAAAATACTCGTACCTGTCAGAATGATGAAACCAATAATGCATGCACCTTATTCTCTCATTCTTTTCTTCTTATTTCTTCAATATTTCTATGTATATATTGATATTTATTGATGGATACTCATATGAACATATGTATATATAACTTTTATATAATTATATCTGGTTATTCTACTTTGAAATGATGGTTAGGTATTATTCCCGACAGGGTGCCATAATTGGTGCTATATTTGGGATGATATTCATCTTCTGGATCGGAATTGGTAAAAGTTTCTCTACGACATTATACCACGAGCCGCGCCTCCCTCCTGTCTCGTCAGGATACTGTTACTACAGGGATGGACTAAATGTCACCAGTGACATCACTAACGCTACAGATGCTTTCACAGTTACCATGACATCAGTGGTGACTGAATCTCTAACAACGTCATCCCGTCAGAAGTAGGTTTGGTTCTACAATGTAGCTGTTAATTCATGATGCTATCATGTACGGTATATCGACTTTATGTATTACAAAGTTTTTCGCTTTATACGCGATTGCCGAACTCGCTCCTCATTCCGAATTATCATGGGGGTCTAGAAACAGTCAATGTAACTTATACATTCTGTGTTGTACCAATACCTATTTAACGTGTCTTTTGTCAGTGAGGGTCTAGACAGATTGTATTCCGTGTCCTACCAATGGATCGGCTCCATGGGAATCTTCAGTACCATTTTCGTAGCTAGCCTTGTCAGTCTCGTCATTGGTACGTCATCATAACAACACTATTCCACAGAAAAGTAATGACGTCTTTTTTATCATTACCGTAGATGATTTCTGATTCAGTCAGTTCGTCAGAATTTCATATTGACAAAGTAACGGAAAGCAGGTAGGCTACTCTCAATAAAGTGAAATACTTAAAATGTAACCAAACACACTTCTATGTTATAGTATATTGGCTTAACGTTCCTAGTGGGTATGATGTTGGAAATGGTTCAAATAAAACATAAACTGAGTCAACCAATGGCTACTATTTATGAAGTTAAAAGCTTACGTTTATTAATAAAGTAATAACGACAGTACAGACAAGTAAATTTGCAAATTTTAGAGAACATCTGTCCCTTTATCAAGACACAAACTATTACGTAAGTTACATATCACACATACACAGAATATAGAACAAAGACAAAATTACACATTATAATCGTGAATGGTAGTGCAAATTTACGTCTCACGGTCATCCCGTCGGTGATGGACTCCACTGGCTCTTTATAATTCAGGTTTATATTGTTTTATGCATAGTGTTACAAGATTCATCGAAGAATATAAGTTTTAATCGTAAAATATAATTATAGTATATATGAGTACAATAGTGTTGAACAACTCTAAACCATGTGCAAAAAAACTGTCTTAACTGTTGCATAGATCTGAATTGAATCAAAATGTTTAATGCTGTTCATAATTCATATGCCAATGAAGAATCTGAGACAAACTCATTCATTTTATCATACATTTTCAATTCACAATACAATAGCAATATTGACAAAACACCATTTTTCGAGATCATGGAAATTAAATTAGTATTATGTTATGCACAATATACCAAAATATACAATTGTTAAACCGGTACAGTATTCTTGTCATATGGACACAGTGATTTATTCAAATATGTTATAGAATATATAATATAGGAAAAAATGATAATATGAAGATGTGTATATATGACGTATCTGAAGTTCTAATAAAAAAGAAATGCTTCGGTATTTATGCTTCAATATATATATATTTTCCTAAATTACTTAATTCCGTAGTGCTTTGGGTATTTAACACAGGAATAAATTTTAAAACAGTAGGACATGTACAATAATAAGGTTTGATATATATTTCCTTAAATTGCTTAATTCCGTAATGTTTTAGGTATTTTACAGAGAAATACACTTTAAAACGCTAGGACACGTATAGCAATAAGGTTTGATAGACTTGCTATAGATTAGTACAATGATTACTTTAAGTTTTTAAAACAAATTTTCGATTATAGAATGTTATTTTGTATTTGTTTTACGTTCAATGTAGGCGATGAAATTAATGTAATCATTTGTGTCTTGATAAAGGGGCAGATTGCCTCGAAAATTTTACAATTTACTTGTCCTTATTGTCGTTCCCACTTCATTAGTCATATATCTATTCCAGTAATACACATCCAACGAACATGTGTTTGTTAGGATCAAGTACCAATGTTGGACCATACCGTCAATATTATTTACTAGATTTTACATAAATAACAGGATCAAAACCTTCTGGAAAAGTTTTAATCAAGATGCAACCATTCCATATATAGACAGTTGCTGTTTAGATGTTGTCTTTGAAAGTCACTTTCAGTTTATTTACTTTTAGGACGGCCAAAACCGGAAACGATTGATGTTCGTTACATGTTACCAATTGGCGAGCAGTTGTTGCCATATCTTCCAAAGGCAGCAAAGAAATTTCTTCACTTTGGGGTACCGTTTGAAAAGGTAGCGTCGACATTCTTCTGTGACATCATTTTACTTGATTAAAACAGTGATTACCAACAGTCACTTTGCTAATTAGTTTTATTTATCGCTACTTAGTGAAGAAACAATTCCTAATTAACGATATAAATGCTTTAAGTTGCATATTGTAATCCGCCCTACCTGTTTTAAGAGTAACATCCTTAATCTGAAAATGTTTCGGATCAAGGAAATATATATATGTAAATCTCGAAAGTCATCTAGACAAACAAATTTTTTTTCCACATGACACAGTTTGTCTTTAGAAATGTCAATTCAAGCGCTGTACCAATGCATCCTCAATAAATGATGGCATTAAATGATAATTCGAGATGTCAATGAAACAAAATAAGACAAGTGCCATTATAAGGTAGCATTGGTACGAAAGGCTCCCTAAGAAATAGTGTATTTATCGTTTTATTCTCATTGTTTTCCAGAGGGATGATTTCCTAAAGAAAACAGTAGAACTACAAGAAAAAGAACGAAACGAAACAACGGAAATGATCCTCCCTGACGAAGAAACTATACCAAACGAGATAGGGGAAATTATCCCCTCGTGTGAAGAGAAAGGACGAGACGAAACAATGGAAATGGTCCACTCTAGTGACGAAAAAGAACACCAACAAAACCAAACAGTCAACACCGTAGTAAATACATCCCAATCACTAAAATTATAGTGTATCTTTCTTAAGGACGATGTTAAAGATAATCTAAATTTGCCTCATTATTGTCAAGGATGTTTATATGCGGAAGACCATTTTTTCGAGAATGTCATGAAATAGATTAAATTTGTTTCATGTGAATCAGTGAATTGATGAAATTAATTTCAATTGTGTTGGTGAATATATAAAGGTGATGTCTAGTTTGATGATGAATCACTGACGTTTATTTCGAATGTGTCGATAAAAAGTAGAGGTTAATTCGAACGTATCTGTTATCACAAATGAAATTCGATTGGTAAAATTAAATTAGAATTTTTGAAATTATTTTGTTAATTTTGTGAAGTTCATTTGGAGTCTGCCGGTAAATCTTAATAGAATGTATTATTCCTTTGTGATCAAGATTTCAAATTTAGATTAAAAATCAAAGTAAGTTTAATCCTAATTAATCTTTTTCATCCATTTTTTTCATTATTCCTTTCATATTTGCAGTGTCATAAATACATAAGCTAGATTAAATCAATTAATTGCTGTCAAAATACAAATTCATTAGATAGGAATTTTTTTTCTTACTTACGCCATCTCCGTAACAAGTTCATACATGTAATATTAGCATATTATAATATTATGCAATAATCAAGCAGCCAACTAAGATTTTGTCTACGTGAAAGCGTATTGAGTTTAAGATGAAATTACAGCGAAATAAAAAAAGGATAGGTTTAGGGACATCAGCCAATTTTTGAAATGTGTGTGTATTGTTTTTTGAAGATCGCGTGTATAATTTTCCTAATCTTGGTAGCGTAAGTTAAAACCTATTCCAAACACACATGTTACCTGGTTTTTCTTAATGTATATTACACTTGTGAGGGGTAGATTTTGCATGATACACTTCCCTTACTCTTGTTTTATCTAATTTTCTGTATAGAATTTGCATTTCAAAATTTCTAAATGTCATAGAATTTATTCCATTTTAGCCATTTGATGGCGAGAATTTATACAGGCTTTGTCTGTTATTTCATTCAATTTACCATGCATTCTTGTCAATAATATTTGATGAACTGACAAAATAAAACTGACTTCCACATCCTGTGCCGTAAATTGACTTGACTCCTTGTTCACACCTAGTCCCTCAGAGAATACTTATCCTTCATGCTTATCCGTCAAGATCAGGAAAGTCAGACACGTGCTCTTTATTTCATATTTACGACTGAAACATGAATGAATATGTGAACTGTTAATTTGATAGATAAACGATTACGTTGGTGATAAACGATCACATTGATGTTCATACAAAGTGACCATAAGAAATATACAAGAACCAGATGTATATTTCATGTATAAGCTTTATCTAAACTGATTCCCTCTTTGACAAAAAGGTTCAAAAAGATAACGGATACAGACACCTGTTGCTTCGTGCGAATAGCATTGATTACATAATTTGGTATTCTTAAATAAAAAAATGACTAATCATTATCCGTGATTATATCTGGTTCTAGTTTTGGTCGTCATTAACGCCCTGCAGAAATGTCCTCAAAATTCATAGATTCAAAGTCGTATATGGTTTGTAATAACTGTTGAAATACCTTTTTGGTTGCCTGAACACGAGTACTGATCGTGAAAGTCATTGTGTATAGGGGTTTTCTCCCTTCAAACACAACGAAACATACTGTTACCTTAGCACTACATGTTAGGATATCTCAAATATGTCTCTATTTCATATTATTCTGTCTAAACGACATGTTTACTTACAAAGCTGTGTGATTCATAACGACCATGGATGCAATAATAAGACAATTCAATACTTACATACCTGTTGAATCTTTTATTGTAATACAAGCAATTTTCAGATCTTGTTCTGTATTACACATGTGCAGTACGGAATGTTGTTTTTCTACTAGCCAGAATTCGTGAACATGCTCGTCCGCGAAATAAAACAGATGCTTTCTGATTCGTTAGAATATAGAATATGCATATTGCTGCCGCTTGACTCGATAAACACGTGTGTCCGACTTAAATAACTGATTATATATAAAATTGGTTTTCCGTTCCCAGCACTACAAACGTTTAATACATAAGCTTGGTGCTGGTTTATCTAGAATATGATTGTTGTCTCATCTAATAGTGTATCTACTTGATAGATATATGTTAATATTTTCAAAACAAAGTTGCAGTCCACGGACCAAGAATTTTTCATGACATATCAGCCCAGGATTTTGTTCACTAAGGAGTAAAATCTCTGGTCTATATCCAAGTTTTATGATAACATGTTGCCGTTTAAGGCATACAAATGTCATGACATCTTTCGTTGAAATGTTGAACTATACTTTTTTCAAAACTTATATGCTAATAATAGTTTGATATAATGTTTATATCACGCCCTTCATCAGTTTTCAATCGGCTATTTGCCCTCGGGACCTTGGATATTGTGATCGATATCAAAGTCATTTTATCAAAACTTCTTATCATCAGGTCTTCAAAGACAGATGTGAAAGTGATAAATCGCCCATAGTGACTGTCATGGCCATTATTCACTTTCAACAATTACATAGAGATTTTTTTTAAATATAAGCTGTAATTCGGCTGGAGTAGAGAAGGAATTCTGTCCCTATGTAGTGCATATTTGACCACATTGACCTTGTATTCATCTAGCAACTGTTATTGACAATTCAGACATACGAAATTCAAACAGAATGCTGTTAAATATGTGTTAACCTGATGTTGAAGTACGCTGACTCTGATTTACGACAAATTCTCTGAGTGAAAATATAGTCCAAACTTTAACTGTTATCGCAGCAACTCTGGGAACGTCTATAAACTTGTTCATTACAATAAATTTAATCGATAATTCAAACATTCATTCACATTTCTAAATGTCATAAGGTGAAAGTTGGAAAGTGATTCTGGCGAACCAATTTACGTGCTAAAAACAGCTGTTCTTCCGCACTCTCGTGTATAGTAAAATTATATGTGGAAAGTGTATTCCTATTAAAGCGTTGAGTTCAAGATAAAATACAATACTTTTTTTTTCTAATTTCTAATTTGCCAGGTCGATACTTATGTCTTATCATTGAAACACACCAGAAATCGTGATAACAGAGCTGCGGAACCGAAACTTATCGATACGATAAGCACGATATTGATTTTAATGTTTTGCAATGGAATGTTATAATTATTTCATCGGGAGCTATTTTATTTCTCTATGTAATAAGAGACTGGACGTGCCTGTTGCTTATTAATATACCTTTTGGGTCCTTTATTGTTTATAGTGTCCCCATTCAGCAGCATGACATTCCTTACTTGTCAAAGGTTTACATGGCGGGTATCGTCGATGAAGCAGAAGACGCTTACTCTTACTGAACACCTTTTCTTATTCTACTTTAATTTAGTCTCTATGTAAATATTACCTTTCTTCATACATGTAGGTAATTCATTTGTTGATTTTGTATAAAAAGGAAGACTAATATAAGAATATTATAATATAGAAGACATATACATGTTCTTTAGATAAAGTCATACTGACCTAAGCAATGGCCAGATATATTTACTCTTGAAAACCATCGATACCAAAGAAGCACTTCCGACAAGAATAATTGCTTGACATTTGAAAACGTTTGAAAAAATCTCGAAAATTAATTTCTCTTTCTTATGAGAAGAACTTCAACTTTTGACCTTCGGATCTGATAAGTATTTCCAAGGAAGCGTTTTGGGAAAGAAATCGATGAATGAAGCTGGAATGGTAAAGTTCATAAGAAATTAGAATTTCCCTCCGAAAAATAATTCTGTAGCTTATATTTGGAATTCGACCTTTTGTTGAGCAGGCCCGAAAGGCTGCATCAACCGAGCCCTTTCTCTCAGAGATGCTATTGCATGAAAGTCAATACCTGTATAAAGGACACGGGTTTGATAAAAAATTTCCAAAGGAACGGCCCAGTATAATGTAAATACGGATCGAATTCATTCGTGCCAAGCCCGTGTAGTTTTTAGTAACAATGGTTTTCAGTCTGAAAATCCACAATAGATGGTTTTCATCTGTTTGTCATGCCCTTTATTCTCATCAAGTACAAAGAACGGATATGCATGTAGTACTTGAGATCAGGTTTACGATTGTGTCCTTATCTGCTACAATTAATATTGTCGGTGTCCTTGTTTTATACATGTATGCACCTCTTACTGTATCAGTAAAAATTAGAATTTCCTCAGTAGCCTCGTAGGTTTTAAAATACAAAATTCAAAATGAAGATGTTGTAGTAATAGAATTATGAGATCAATTCGATTAAATAAAGAAATAGAAACAAATTTTTTTAAAATCTTTAGGAACAGAATTCCGCCGTGACCTTGAACGTTGTCACGATATTTGAACCATCACGCGAGAACCAAACCTGACAATAATTTGTAACTAGATACGGAGTGAATTACAGAGCGTGTAATTTGATCTTCATCTCTTTTCTGATTACAGATTCCAGAAAAGGAAAAAATACATTTACTTATAAATAACGCATGAATGACTTAAAAACATTCGCCGAGGTCGAGTTAAAGTTGTAAAATCATTTGATGATCTCCATAGTTGCTCCAGGTATATTGAATCCCGATGTCTCTAAACGTTCGACTGACTCCATCAGCAATGTAACACGCCTTTGTAAATTCCAATTCCAGTACAGTGATTGCTTACAAATTTCTGTCTATTTGTTTCGTTTCTTTTCTATTTGGAATTTTTGCATTACCGAATTACTTGGTTAATTCTGTTTGTCGACTGCGTGGAGAAATAAGTGAAAACGTCGACTTTGCAGAATATACCGCAGTATCCTGTCAATCAGTCGTCGCATTCAAACTGACTGAAATTAACATCCGAGTTTTGATTGAACAATTTACGTAATAAAATTATCACCATGGCAATGCCCTATAACTTAAATTTCGGGAACGCCTGTCAGTTTCGACCTACAATGGAAAATGAATACTGGACTGATATCTCGCGGAAGTAAATTATTGTTTTGTGTTTTTCTTAAATCCTAGCAGATTCGATCACATATGAGTTTAGCTGATTGAAGGCATGTCCAGGAATAAATTAATTTTAACCTGCGAACTTCAATCATCAGCTAAGCAAACAGGAGAGACCGATACGCAAAGAAGTGTCGTATTAATAATGAATTTCGTGGAAATTGATAAACATCAGTGCTGTTATAGTAATCCACATATTTATTCCCAAGCTATGGTAAGAGGCATCCCACCAAGTAAAATTCACGAAGCTCAATACCAAATAGAATCATTGTCACGACTCTACTTCAAAATTAATGAAATTCCTGCAGATATTTAAACTAAGTGTCATTGTTGATTTAGCAGAAAAATGAAAACATCTGCTTTATTATTCCGAAATCAGTCAGGGATCAGGGTATGCTTAATCGTTGATGGAATTGAAATATTCTCCTTATGTGTCATGATAATGACTAACTGTCACGGTTAAAACTGTTCACTATAGAAGCATTGAAATATTAATAGAAAAATACGAATTATCAGCAGCATCATTGGTACCGTTGTAGAAATAGCTTCTGAAATTGATGCGGGATTCACTGTCGTCAGAGTAGAGTCAATGTTCATCCCTGAGTGACTTTTATGGAATAAGTTTCGATGGTGATCCGTGAGCGACTGTTGTGGAAACAGGTTCGATTATGATCATTAAGTTATTGTCGTGGGATGAGGTCCGGTGGTTAGCCGGGAGCGACTGTCGTGGGATCAGATCCGGTAGTTATCCGGGAGCGACTGTCATTGGATCAGGTCCGGTGGTAATCCGGGAGCTACTGTCGTGGGATCAGGTCTGGTTGTTATCCGGGAGCGACTGTCGTGGGATCAGATCCGATGGTTATCCGTGAACGACTGTAATGGGATCAGGTCCGGTGGCTATCCGGGGACGACTGTCATCGTATCAGGTCCGGTGGTTATCCGGGAGCTACTGTCGTGGGATCAGGTCTGGTTGTTATCCGGGAGCGACTGTCGTGGGATCAGATCCGGTGGTTATTCGGGAGCGACTGTCGTGGGATCAGATTCGGTTATTATCCGTGAACGACTGTCATGGGATCAGGTCCGGTGGTTATCCGGGAACGACTGTCATTGGATCAGGTCTGGTTGTTATCCAGGAGCGACTGTCGTGAGATCAGATCCTGGTGGTTATTCGGGAGCAATTGTCGTGGGATCAGGTCTGGTTGTTATCCGGGGGATACTGTCATTGAATCAGGTCCGGTGGGTATCCGGGAGCGACCGTCATTGGATAAGTTATGATCTCCGTTGCAGATACTATTGTAAAAAAAATATAAAATGTAATTCGGGCACGACCACTGTTGGTTGGTCCGTTCATCGGACCCAGGGATTTGACCTTCTTTTATGAAAGATGATACGAGAGGAGACCGTCGGTGGTTGTGCAACGTTCCATAATGATACGGGCAAAAGACCGTCGGTAGTTGTACGTTCCATAGTGAAACGGAGAGAGAGACCATTTAGGGAAATGGCTCGATCAAGATGGGGACACGGTCCGATTTTGTCACATGGAATTAACAAAACACGTTAACCATTTGAAAAAAACTTCATTGTTGTCATACACATTATAAAGAAAGGCACTGACAAATTTCATTTTGGATCTTTCTAATCTCGATTTGGCTTTCAAATATCGTCCATGTATTGTGAATGTCATGTACCAAAATATATAAGATTTCGCTACTTGAGCACATATATCAATAATCAAACGGAAGGGAATGATCCATTGAAAGTACACTGATCATTTTGCGTTAACCAATCAACAGCATTTGTCATGAAATTCACATTTGTACCTAACTCTGTTCTGTTGAAAACTTGACGTTACGTAATTATACCTTAGCTCTTGAACATGTGACAATACCAAGTCGAACAAATTGCTGACACTTCCATGAAATGCACGCGCCGTTCCCTGTGAGACTAATCACTGTCATCACAAAGTGCAGTAGTCACTTTTAAAAGTTTGCAACTAACCTGGTTTATCGATATGCTGATCTCTGCTTGATCCAACAAATATAATTGAACGGAAAAATACAAGTCGACACGCAAATAAAATGAAATTCATCCCTGCGAAACAAAACTGAACCCATTGATAAGTGTTGTAGTCTAAAGAGGGGTTTTCGGATACTAATTATTTTGATTAGGAGTTTTTAGTAACTGATTTAATTAACTATTAATTTAATTAATTAACTGATGAATTTCAAAGAGTACTTATGCTATCGAGGACTATTGGGTAACATATAATTTTTAAACATTTTGTAAAATAAACAACACAAATATAACTAGAGTTTTGGATAACCGATGTATAATTAAACGTTAAAACTGTAAATCTGGATTACTATTCTGTCGTGTTGTTACCGTGGTTATTTGATAATTGTCATGGTAGCATATTTAAATTGGTGAAAGAGTTCGGTTTTTATCGTTTGGTGTTCTTACATAATTAGAATAATACTTGCGACTTTGCAACGCGCCGTAATCCATTCATCATGCTTATTCAGATCGGACCTGGGTTAAGAACTTTAGTGGATTAAGCTCAAGTCCTACTTTAAACCAATCAAGTAACATATGTAGTAATGATATCAAAGATATATGATCTAGTTAAAAGTACATGTACATAGTCACACGGCTACCTGTCACATGTAAATGAAAAAAGGGTTTCCGGTAGGATGCCCTATCACATTGAACCATCAAACGGATATATGCATATGTCGGTTGTGAAATGAACTAGTAATGTCGTGCAAAACCGGGAGAAATCACACATGGATTATTCCCTCGACAGAACATATAATAAAATGTATATCTACACGATACAAGACGTAGAAAGCTAATTTGGCTACACCAGCCTCGTAAATCTGCTGCTTAAAATCCTCGCTAGTCATATTGTGGAGCTTCTTCTAATACTCAAAGTCCATTCATTAAGAACACTTCGAAACTACATGAATTGTTTTTATCTTTACAAACGTCCTCTTGCTACAGATTCCGGTGCCGTCAGAGTCAATTATTCGACACTTGATAGACCTTCAGTTACACGGACCTTCATATGCGACATACTTATATATGGCGGCAATCCAAGAGAAGGAACCGAATGGCGGGTCTACTCAGACTTCAATATCCGGAAAAGCAAATGGCTGACCGATAATGACCAGCTCAGACAGGCGGACAGGCCAATGTATATGGATCTAGATTGGCCGGACAGGCGTGGACATTAAAATGTGTGAACGGAGTATTAATACTGCAGACTGTGTTTGTTTTGTCTGGGACGATTCCATTTAGTACCTCGACCGAAAGTAGATTGATCCATACCTTGCAGATTCCTTTAATACCAATACATACTAAATATGTATGTTTTAGCGGCCATATTTCTTCTGGTATCCTTTGTAGTAAGAAAGATGACAGAAAATCATTTTCTTACCGAAATTTATGTACGATACATTTTCGCCCAAGGTTTCTCGCCCCTTCTAATAAATCTGCTCATTTTCGACCGGTATTAGATTCCTAAAAAAAAGTAAAACATTTCAACTTGTGAGCTAAAGTTTCATGTTGAAGCTATTTTCGCCTTCTTGGCGAAAGGACAAAACGGCCAACAGTTTCCCCTTATTCGTACATAGAATAGATTCTTTTAACTTAAACTTCGCTTTGTTTGTATACCAGACTCTGAGGTGACATTTGCTGATTGAATTTGTGTTTTAGATTATACTTATCTTCAATAAATATGAAACAAATATCAAAAGGTGAATAGCAAGAAACATTGTCCAAACTTTCTCGTTAAAAGCCATTGTCACCTTATATTTTGCCTTGCTGATTTATCTGTCCCTCGTGAACAAATCACGTGAGAGAACTGCACTTAACACATAATGCGACAACATAACATTTCATTTGTACATAATATTGGCTTGTCGGTCTGACTTCAGTCTGGAAAAGATCAACATTCTAGTTAACGCTACTGATCACGTGACGTGTGCAAAAATCAAGGGAGAGAGAAGTCGGTAAGGCAGAATGTTGAGTGGCAATAATTTTTCAATACAGCAGTGATATCTTTTTATAAACTTTCTTAAGTGTGTGGAAAGATCCTTCAAAAACTCATTAAACACATCTCTTATATGATATACTTTGACTTTTATGTTCTTAATGACATTTGCCTTACCTTATTCCATGACTTCTTAGTGTGAATGGCACATATCATGTTAATGTTGCCCAAAATAGCTGTTGGTAACTTGAGCACGTTCTTTACTGAGGAAGACGATATGTATCTACAAATTAATCGCAATTCACAGCATGTTTATGAAGAACGACACCTAAATAAGATATACTGCGGGTGAAATCATGAACGCGACGAAAACTATCAATGAAAATGTTATTGGGTTTTGTGATTATGCTTTCTAACCTGATGATACAGCCTTGAGGAGAAGCTTTAAGCATTTCTGGGATTAATAACTGTTGTTTCCATATGAGAATAAATTGATTGGGAACAATTTGTCGGTGGCATTACAGATAAGATTTCCTCTTGATGTATCGTTGATGTATTGTCTGTAAACTTGTATTTGAAATATCATCTAGCATAACTTTCTAAATATGGGGGCAAGGACGGTTGTTCTATATTACGTTAGGCACGTTGATTGACGACGTAACGATTTCATTCAGACATGCATGTCATATATATATAAGAAGTACGATGTCCGTTGTTGCATTCTTTGTTGCCCATTTCCAAATTTGGGAGCTTACATAATTGGATCTTGATTTGAATGGCATCTTTGTGAAATAAGATAAATATTGTCTTAAAACGTTGCTTCAGACCTCGATTTTCTGTTGCAGGCGTCATAAGTATGTTTTTTTTATAGCACTCTTGAATACCCCGCGTAAGTTCAAGATGAAGCAAAGTGTGGAAAAAATTGTGTCATGGGCAAATTGGATCAACGGAGGTATTTCATTTTCTTGAAAAACACCTCGTATGATTTCAGTATATGCTCTGAAAACATTTTAGAAGGAAAATAAATGCACACTCATGCTCCGTTTAATCCTGTTTTTATACTAGACGTTCAGAAAAGTGGTATTTTTTAATTCTAGGTTATCAGGGTACTGAGGTCATTGTGACCATAGAAGAAGAAAGAGTTAGTTGGTTTATATGAAATTAAAACAAAGCGAATGACTAACCGCTTTGTCATGATATATCTGGCTTCCAAAGAAATATGCTTTACGTTGTTAGCATTAATGCCTTGAAGATGACTTTGTTTGTGCGCATTGTGGTACAACCGGAAACTGACTCCCTGTGAGACATGACCTGCAAGTATCTTTATGGATGTTTTAGAAGCTTAGAGTGTAATCTATCAAAGTATATTAAACTATTAGGTGTGCCGGACCGAAAGAACGGATATAACCCAGAGATAATATCCTTTTTATATACCAGAAGTATTGATTTTTTAAATTATTTATTTATCCTTACAAGCTCTTCAAACATTTTCTGGCGAAGGAAGTGTAACTTGATGACCTAAGACAATATACTAAGCGAACACTTGTACCTAGAACATACCTACATCATTGTGTCATACCTCTCTTCCATGTAGTGCAACTGAGAGTTCAATGTATTACATGCCTCGCAAGGAGGCCAAGTAGCTTGTAATGTTAGTGTATCATATCAGATCTAAGGACTTAATCCTGAATATTGAGGCCATATTGTGAATCTCTATGTGAGATACCTGTACATACTGATGCAGACAAAAATGGCGAAACGTAAAAACATTAACACACACTGTTGAGAGAAGACCGATTTCCGACAACCTTAACAGTTACCAGTCATGGTACATCGTGTACGGTTTCCTGTTTAGAGCCCATACCTTTCACTGCGCATGCGTTGTGATACAAGCGGAAGCTGTTTTCCTGTGAGACATGACCTATAGTAAGATTTCTGACATATCTACTTAAGGTTCTGATTCCGTAAATTTGAAATGCCTACAGACGCTTGACTTTTAAGGGAAACTTGCACTCTATCATAGTTTAGATTTTTCAATCATGCTGTTCTGACCAATAAAAGTCGTAAGTCCAAGTCGATATGACGTTTGCAAGTGGTCACCGATACATAAGTACATGTATTTACATTTCCATCTAAATTCTCCGTGTTTTTGTTCTATTTTTGCTTTTCATGTTGTTTTCCATGTTATTTCGATGTCACAATCTATAATCACAACAAATATATTTAATGATCAAGATTGTATTGATTGTTGAATAAATGGTCTACAATGGATATTGTTATTATTATTATTGCATTCTTAACGGCCCATTAACACATAAAAGGTCATTAGGGCCACCAACCGGTAAAACACACAGCGATCCAAAAGGAAATAACATTAAACAAACCAAAAGATAAAAGACAAATGCTAAAAAATACGGGTATATCAATACAAAAGATTAAAATGGTACGTCATAGACACTCAAATAGACCAACATATTTCAGGTAATGTAGAATTTTACAAATATCAACAGTTTCAAAAGGGGGTTTTAGGCATGTAATGTTACGATAAAAACATTCTCGAGTAGACAGAAGATCAATGCAGTCCAATGAAAAATGTTTAACATCCTATGCACAGAGGATTATCTTCGCCTCTCAACAGATATGAATGTGTAAGGTATGTATGACCCATCCGAAGACGGACAAGGACAACTTCCTCTCGGGTGGTTGTCTCTCTAGCATGGAAACCATTCATCGATATTAGGTTTTACGGAGTGCGATTTATCATTGGTATATGTATCCATTCCTCCTGCCACTAAGCTGTTAACTATTTTTTAATAAATGGTTTAAAATCGGTAAAATGGAGTTAAAAAAAACAACAGATGGTAGCGATAAAGCTTTCTTTGCGGCACGACCTGCTTTATCATTGCCTAGTATTCCCATGTGCACAGGAAACCTGCAAAGCAATACGAAAGTAAAAGGCAAGTTCGTGATATAGTATTAATGTATTATGAATGAATTTGTTTTTCGATATTTCTATTGTTAAGACTTTGTAGTACAGAAAGAGAGTATGAATAGATTACAGCTCTCATTACTTTGTTCGACTGAATACACTCAAGGGCGTTTCCGCCGAGAATATTTGGGCGTGGTTCGGTAGCCGGCATCCATAGGCTTCATCTTGTGTAACCATGGCCGCGGCAACCTTATCATTATCTTTAGAACCATCAGTATATAAAAGTAGAAATTTTCATATTTTAACTCCAATTTCGCGAAGGATGATCGAAAGGTGTAACTGTCAGTGTCTGATTTAACTATTCCATGAAATGAAACGTCAACTTCAGGTGAGCCAGGGTGTAATTTCCTTAGTTCAAATGACTGAATTTGGTTAATATCAATCTTTGTGCTTTGTAAAAGAGCGGAAATCCGAATACCGAATGGTGGAATGGTGTTTGGTTTGTTTTGAAACAAGGTTTTATTTTTTGGATCAAATGTTAGTGAAAAAGCAGGATTTGAAGGCTTTGACATTAGCTGAATGGTGTATTGCAAAGCCATTTTATTTCGACGACTATATAGTGATGGTTCGTAAGCCTCTACACAGAGACCTGCTGTAGTTGAGAGCGAGCCTTAGACCCTGGTGATGAACAGTGTCTAATAATTTGAGATATGAAGGTCTAGCAGATCCATACACAATGGAACGGTAGTCTAATTTTGATCTAATAAGAGCTCTATAAAATCTTAGCAAAACTTTTCTATCAGCTCCCTAACCGGTGGGGGAAACAACCTTCAGAATATTCGGTGACAGCTTTTAATACATCGTGACACACAATTATCATATGATATTGTTGTCTTCTTGATGTCATCCACAGGAATTAAACGATCATTATTTGAAGCTTAGTGACTACACAGCAAGTGTGCCGTTATGTTAAGCCAATAAAACTTTACTTCATATGACTTTGAAGCGAATTTGCTTAGTCCACTGGACGTTTGGCGTCAGATTGTTTTTGGTCGCAATGCACATTGAGAGTAAACAAGACTCATTGTGAGAATCGCAATGAAAACAAAGGAAATCTGTTATCATCTTGAATTATACATTGACTTGTTCCGTTGTTACAGACGCACAAAATGATACACAAACAACGATTCCTGTTGGTGGGCCGGAAGTAGGAACACTTTGAATAGCGAACATCGATATATCACGTCGCTTATCTTGTTTATAAAAGGAGTCACTAAGATGGGCCGTACATTTTCCGAGTTCGTTATATGTGAAATCAATGATTTCATGTACCAGTTAATGAAAGGTCTTTAGTTGTTAAAATACTTATTCACTGGCGATATACAACATGACATAGTCATGTTTCAGCTGTTGGACGTACAGTTGAAATCACATAAAACTACTGAAAATATTTAATATTTGTCCCTTTACCTTTTTACCACGTTGCGTCACGTAGCTAATGCGCTATTTTGAATATATAACTAATATTTTCCGTATTTCAATGTCATTTTAATAGAAACAGTTATTGTCTCTCTTAATTCAGTGAAACTACATATGATCCATGCACTTCCGTTGGCTGAGCTTCTCGATTATTGCTTGTTGTTGAAATGACAAGATATACATTTTGGGATCAAGGTATGCATGTAAGGACATATTCTAAAGTATTCACACTGACGTAATTAGTAGAACTTCGTGCAAGTCGGGAAAGTAAACAGTATTTCGAACAGTGTGAAAACATTTGTGAAGATCCGAAGATCTCGCCTTAAATAGACTTTCTACGGGTCTAAATAACTTGAGATGAAATATTGTACAACATAACCTTTGATCTGGAACTCTTACTGCCGTTAATTAGCATTAAGTGAAGGCTACATCCCATAGTTTTATCTCCTCCGAGGAAAGCATACAATTATATTACACGATCTTATCTCTCAAGACATATGCGCATCCAGGGTCCTTGATATTTCCGAAAGGACACATCCTATATCCAGTATTCCAGACAGAATTCCAAAAGGGCATGGTACATCTGTCCTATTTCTGAGAGACATTAAATGTAGAAATGACATTAAGGAAATGCTATGATGAAACTATAGTGTTTAATGCTTTTTGTTTCCAATTTTGGTGTTTTGGAGGCCTTTACCATTATAAAGGAACTTTTAATACTGGATTTCAGAGAGGCAAATTATGGGTGAAGTGTACATATATATAGATCTTTTTTGTACGTATTCTAGGCAAAAAACATTTGAAATAAGAAAAGTTCGTCTTTCGCAAAAACAAAATAATTCCTACGTGGTTGACCAAATATGACCTCCCTCTCTCAATTTAGATATTCTTTTTATTTCATCTTCTACGTGTCTTCGCCGTGGTGAGCGCACATCTGCATCTAGCCACACAATGATACTCACGATCATACAAATATTCCCCTTATAATAGCGCCATGATACATTCATTAGTAATCTCGAGAACACAGCCACCATACATAAATGTATTTGATTTCCCTGGATTCCAATACCGTCGTCACAATCACGTGTTTTTGCGCCGTTAACATTTATTTTAATATCGGCCCTAAACACACTGACTAACACAGCTAAACACGAGTTCTAGCACGAATTTAAACATATATGTATAATGATGAGTCATTTGTAAATAAAGAAGAACGTTTTTCTTTGAATTTTTCACTGGTTTGTCAATTATCAAATAAACCTTGTATAGATGTACACTAAAAATAATTGTATCAGGGTCAATTTGATGAAAATAGATAGCAGAGTACGATAATACCAAAACACGGTGTATTGTATAATCACGGGTAAAACAAGAATGAGTAGACCGGGGTTGTGTGACGCCTTCTGAGTAGTCTTGATTCATCTTCATTCCGTTACATGTAGTTTTCCCGGGTTTCCGTCTCTTATTGAAGTCGTCACTTTATAGAAGAAACAGAGATGACCTTCAGTGTTAAACCGGTTATTTGGAAAGTAGGTTATGTAAAA